CGTTTGATGCATGGGGGGGGGGGTCCTTGTCTTCTGACTATATGCAATTTGAGTTACCCAGCTAAAGGAAATCAAAGCTCAGAATACCCTACCTTAAACTGCTAAATATTTTTAATAACGTGTTCCTAACTTTGAATGTTATAAAAATGACAGAGAAGAAACCCGATAAATATTAAGGAGAAATGGAAGAAAATAACGAGTCGATTCAGAAAAGTAGAAAGGAAATACTCTCTCCCATTTATTCGACGAATAATGCTTTGCATTCGCAAGAGTCCCCAGGCAAGTAACTCAAAAGTCACGGTAGCTTCGCTGTGGCCAACAAAATGCATCCAATTAAGCCATGCCAGGAAAGCAGGGACCGGCTGTAAATGTGGCCGGACAGTTGAAACCGAACAACCCTGCTAATAGGGGCTATTGTTCAGCGTGGAAGTTCCCATTTTCCAATCAGGAAAATACAGCCCCCTCCCAGCTCTAGCCGCCTGATCCCTTCCCACCTACGGCTCAACAATCTGCCACCAGCGAAGGGCTTTTATTGCGTCCCTTCCCAGGAAATGGTAGGCAAGTTCTTAAGTAGAACCACCCGAGAGTGGGGCTGGGCCGTGGAGGGGCCCTGAGGAATCCACAGGTCCACGCGGGGCCAGGCTTTCTTTTCAGCTGCAGAGAAACTTGGACCCCAGAATCCCCGACAACCCACCCCCCAACCCCACCTGGCTCAGCCCCCTCCGCTGAGGCCGCGGGCGGCGCTGGGCTCCGCGCTCGCCCGGCTTAGCCGCGCCTTCCCGCGCCAGGTGCCCACGCCGCGGAGGGCGAAGCTGCCTCTGCCCGCCTGGCCTGCCGGGGTCGCGCCTGCCCGCTCGCGGAGGACGCCCCGCGGTCGGCCAGCAGAGCTGGGGAGTCGCCACCGAGGCTCGGGCAGCCTGGACGCCAGCAGCTGGCGGGTCCCTACCCTGCGGGGTACACGCTCAACTCCTGGTGCCTTTCCCACCACAGCAGGCTGTCCCTCCTCTTCCTCCCTTCCTTTTTTTTTTTTTTTTTCTTTTTCCTTTTCCCCTTTAGCCCGTGTGCATGTCAGACCATACGTGCATTCAAAACTGTATTTGCTGTGAATGCGTTGCCAGACATTTGAAAGCCTGGGTGACTTTGATGTTTCCAATTATAAATCTCCATCGTATTTAGTAGTTAAAATGGCTTCATTTACTTGTCTAGGAGCCTAACATTTTAGTTTATTAACCAAGAACATATGCATTTCTCACTCCCCACTCTCCGGGAAGAGAAAACAGATCAAGAACTCTGATTTGCTTTTAGAACCTTGCTTCTCTGGTTGTGAGAGATTTCCAGCATCGACTGGGTCTTCAAACCCGCCTGCAAAAAGAAACAAGCCAGCGTGCGCGCGCGCGCGCGTACACACACACACACACACACACACACACACACACACACACACACAGACACACACAAGCAAAACCACCACCACAAAAAAAAAAAAAAAAACACACAAATCCAACCAAGCAAACAGAAATCAAAACAAAAAGCCCAAATATCCTGTCTCTGCTCCGAGAGGCGGTGAGGGTTGCCGCTCTGAGGCAGTAGGTCTACTTGAGGAAGTAGTTCCTGGGATGTAAATTAGGTCCCAAAAGCTGTTGTCCAAATCGAAGAAACAGAGAAATTAATCTGGGAGACTATCCATCATCACCGGCAATAAAGAGAGCGACATGGATGAGACAGATGATATGATTAAGGGGCTGTGGTCGTTTTAATTAACTTTTTGCTGTCCTGTAATGATCAAACTGGTCACCAGACCCGGTCAATAAGCATGTTAATATCAAACAAATAAAACCAGGGATGATTAAAAACCTCCTGGTTTATTAAATTTGAAATTCAAATGAAATTTATGCTGCAGAAGCATACAGAATGCTAATAGATTTTAGCTTTATTGATAGTGGATCCCACAGGTTCGCAAGGAAAGAGCACACTGCCTGCTCCTGTTCCTTTCCAGCACATTAAGCTTCTTACTGGATAGGGGAAACTTTACTGGTGTTCGGCAACCTGAACTTCCTGTATTTCTTCCTCCTTTTCTCTAAACATCGTAATTATTACAGCACAACGCTGCAAAAACAATGATTAATATGAGAACAGGTGACCCGAGCTCTGCCCTCATGGTCTGGCCACACTGGCTGTTCTCCTCCGTGGGACAGGATTCATGTGTGTTTGGGCCACTTTTCAAAGTGCTGGAAAAGTACCATTAAGAGCAGCTTCATTTAAAGTAGACGACTATGAGTGTTTGGACTCTGTTATTTGATAACCTCGTGAAACAAACATTGACCACTCGGTGGGGGAGGGGAGGAGGGAGGAAGTCAAGCAAAGGAGAAAGAAGCCCTTGGCAAACCCCTCATAAATGGAAGCGGAACGTTCAAAGTTGGATGTGTATATACACCATACACCATACGTTAGGGACACACTGACATGTATTTTTCTAATAAAACGGTGCGCACAGACCTTTACAAAGCCCTCAAAGCCAAAAGCAAACCACATGCAGTTTGAAGACTCTAGTATTTTCACCAAATTCACACCATCACTGTGACTCGTTGTCAGAGGAAGAATGGCATGTGATTCTAAAATGCATTTGTACAAATTAAATATCTTAGCTGACAACTGAGTAGCTCAAAATTACAGTCACATGATGCTGAGTTTTCCTAATTCCTGGCATTTTTGAGGAAACGGTGGTTAACGCCTCTGTTTACTCTCATGCTCGCTCAGCATTTAACTTTTTAATAGTCTTTCCCTTCCAGAAGATAGAAGGATAAAAAGATAAAATAACTATTCATAGGAAGGAGTCTTCCTTCAAAGCACTTTCCTGCATCTTTGAGGATGATGGTATTGATTAAAATTAAACCTCAAATTTGAACAACTGTATATTAGGTTCTTAAAATGAATATCATTATAGAAGGAGACCAAAGCAATGAAGTTAATTCTCTTTTATTTGTTAAACGGAGTTCCCTCCTTCCCCACCCCTTCCTCCTTCTGGGCTGGCCTGTCACGCCTTCTCAACACGCTAAAATCATTCATAGGGGCTTGCAGAGAGAAACGCGACGTTTATGGTAAGCCTTCAGAGAAAGAAAGCAGTTCATTAATTTACTTCACACTTAGTTCAAAGCATGTAGGTGCCCTCGCTCCCTTAATCAATAGATATGAAGTACAGTCAATAGCCACACACGTGAAAAAAAAAAGGCTTAGAAATACAAACTCCTGCACCACAAACAGCAACTCCAACTGTGCAGGTGAAATTTGTGCAAAGGGTGAAGCCTGACTTTGGACTTCAGCAAAACCCAGGAGGATTTTTTTTTTTTTTACATCTTCAGAAGCTGCAATTACAGTTGAGAACAACAATTAAAAATAAAAAAGTCTCCCAAATCAAAACAGGGCAGTTCTCTCATCTACTCACATTTTAATCAGCCCCCCACCCCCCTTAGAACTAGACTTCTGAGAGCCTTCCTTCCTAACAGGGTAAAAGAGGAACTACTGTGGCTTTAAAAATATGAATAGTCAACTAAACTCCAAGGACTGGATTGTCGTCTTCACTCTGGTGTTGGTTTTCTTGTGGGTTAAGAAGTTGTAGTGACCAGAAAATGGAGCGACGTTTTCGAAGGCAACTACTAATAAACACAGCAAGTGGGTGACTAAAACGCAGGGAACGTGAAGTGCGCACGGAGACTCGGGCTCCCGCGGCGACGGCCTGCTCAAGCCACGGACGCTCTATAAAGTAGCCCAAGCTTTGTCTAAAGCTCACTTCCATCCTTACATAAATGGAACCAATAGATTTCGGCCACTCCAAGTTTTCCGTCAGAAAGGCACGGTGGGGTTTCCTGCGAAAACTTCTAAATTGGGGAAAATGCTCAATCTCTCATCCAATGGGAGAGAAACACCCCCCTAGTCCTCCCCTCTCCACCTAATCCTTTTGTAATTTTACTGCGCGCCGCCACGGGGCAAACACCTCCTCCAGGAGGTGCACTTCCAAAGCCGAATCCCACCTCGGAAAGGGGGTGGTGGTGGTAAGGGCAACCAGATCAAAGTAACAACTGCACGGCGCAGGCGCACACACGCCACTTACCCCCCCCCCCAACACACACTCACCCTGGCCCAACCTTCCAATCTTTTTACTTGGCTGAAACATCAGCAAATGTAAGGTACGTGTCAAGATTTGCTTCAAAACTATACTGAAAGAGACCAGGAAACTAAGCAGCATCAACAACGAAATCACTCCATCTCCACGTTTCGGAGGCAGAGAAGTTGGTGGCGGAGGTAGCTGGGATCTTTATTTCCCCGGCCTCGCTCAACTTGGCAGTTTCTGCAGATCAGCAGTCCCTCACGTACGCACACTTCATCGTGTTGTTTCTGCTCCCCACGTCCCGCTTTGCTGCTCCCGCGCTCGCACACACCCCTCTTCCCCTCGATCGCGCGCACACAGGCACGCACACGCTCGCCACCTACAGCAAACACGCGCGCACCCTCTCCCACTCGGGATTGAACGCGCTGCCGCTCCCGGCTCACTAGGGTAGAGGACTCGGTTATCTTCCACACTTCTCAGCTCGGTTCCGGTCCCCGTTTGTCACGCACGCAGTTACTCCCACACAAGCCCTCCCGGGGGTGCACGACCACCGCTGGCCCCTGCTCGCCCAGCCTCCCCTCCGCCGTCCGCAGTGCCCTCTCCCCGGGGAGTACACGCGCGAGCCCCTTGCACGCGCGCGCACACGCGCGCCGCGCGGCCCCGCACCTCCCCCTCCCGCCGGCGCCGATGACCTCACGGCGCGCGCGCGGCGGCCGGGCGAGGCCGCAGATTGGCTGGCCGCGCCTCCGCGGCACTTCAAAGCCGGAGAGGGAGCTACAATTGTGGCGGAATGGGCGGAACTGATCATTGTATTGCACACCTCTAAAAAAACACTGCCTCTGATTTATCAATATAAAAAGATCCTCTGAGAGGAGGAGGAGGGCGCTTCTGTGTGATGGCAACTTCTCTTCTGGGGGTGAGTCTCAGGGTCCTCGCGCGGCTTTAATTAGTTCCCTTTTATTGCTGTCGGAGGGGGTTGCAGTCTCCCGGCCAGGCCACGGGCTCTCAGCCTCGGCAGCGAGGACCCCCTCCCCCTTAAGTACCAGTGACTTAGGAGCGCGGGGGAGAGGAGGCAGAGCCGCTTTTTTTTCAGCACAGGAAAGGTTGATAGGGTACTGAGACCCTCCACCTCGCCGCGCGCCGCTCCCTGCCCGAGGCAAGTGCGCGTAGCCCCGAACACGAGCGACGGTGTCGAGGGCAGACGCAAGTTTTTCCCTCCTGGGATACAGCAGATTCTCCCCTTCCCCTTGTGTTTGTTTTTGGTTTTTTTTGTTGTTGTTGTTTTCTCAGCCCGCCTTGTATTGCAGGTACGTTGAACTCATCTTATTTCTACCATTATAGATAAGAAAGAAGGAAAGAAAGAAGGAAAGAAAGAAAGAAAGAAAGAAAGAGGAAGGAAGGAAGGAAGGAAGGAAGGAAGGAAGGAAGGAAGGAAGG